CCCACACACCCCCTTCCGCACCCCACACACCCCCGTCCCGTCCCCACACATATTTTTATTGCTCGTATCATTTATTGACAGARTGTAAGCAGCCAATTGATGTATATTTTGCAATCCCAACGTCAACCTCCATATATGGAATATCCGACAATATACGAAAATCATTTGTGGGTCTGTTACGTCAGCTGGAAGTCAGCAACAGAGGCCTTCATGTGGGTCTTATCAAGTATTCTGATGACGCTGAGGTTGTGACGCATCTTGATTGGGTTTATAACCGTGATTGGCTGGAGAATATTATCAACCGTATACCAGTGGAAGGAGCGGTAAGCAGCTTATAAACGTGTTAAGGTTATGAGTTTATGAGATCCATCCATCCATCTATCCTTCTCATCCCATTTCATTCACAAATCCATCCAAATTTATCCACCAAACCGGCCATTCCATTTTATCCATCCCTACCACCCAATCACCCATCCATCCGTCCGATCTCTTCCGATCCAATCCACCTGTCCTCCTTTAAAACTTTCTTTACTTACTTCAGTTACTTTACCCAACAATCCTTCCCAATTTATCCACCCATATCCTTCCATTCATCCATTCATCTAGCCATCCCATTTAATCCATCCCTACTTCGACTTTCCCCGGCATCCATCCATCAGACTAACTTTACCTATAGATGTTTTGAGTTACCCAATTTCATGTGCCAGTCCTCTAATTATTTATCGTTAGCACTGTCAATCATTGTAAAAAACTTCATGCAAAAAGCTTAAGGTGGCACGATATAAGTCCCCAGCTGAACAAACTTATTTCTATATTTTCCAGAGTCTGAACATCGCAAAAGCACTCCGTGCTGCAGCAGATCAAGGATTTACCATATATGGAGGCACGCGTCAAACCGCTCCAAAAGTCCTGGTACTTTTTGTCCCAGGCCCTGTGACCGATACCAATGAAATCCAAGCTGCCGCAAATAAACTAAAGAGTCTTGGTGTGAGGATTGTAGTCCTGGGTTTGCAGAATGCTGTCGACCCTAGGATATACAACACTGTTGTCACGCAACCTCCATCGAAGTTTTTGTTGACGTCGGACTCCTTTGCTGGATTGAGTTTGGGTCTGAATGCTGCTTCTAATCGGATATGTAACGGTAAGTTTCAAATCAATGTAACGCTATTTATGTGCATGTTATGTCATCATGGCCATGTTGATGGTATTTAAGGAAAAAAATGGTTAGCCTTTTTGGTAATACCACCAAGATGGCCGCCATGTCTTTGTCATTTGACTTTCCCCTGAATCGAGATGACGTTTTACCCCCGACTCTATACCATAATAGTTTGTAAAATTCTTTCATGTTAAAAATKTTGATTCCTTAGAAAATACAGGAACAATAGTCATAATTAAAGAACAAAAGCAGTGTGAAAAGGATTATGATCTAGAGACGGGGGTAAAACGTCATTTCGCTTCAGGCTTATTCAGTACAGAGACACCTTCACCATTGTTATTATCGTCATACCATACTATGATCACGACCACCACCACTTCCATAGATTACCACCACCACCATCCATCACTACCACCACAACCACCATTGCCATCCCAAACCCCTAACTTCAACAACTACATGGCCGTCACGTCGCCTTCACCACCGATCCTTATCATCATACCATACTTTTACCACGACCACCAACGTTTCCGTAGATTATCACTAATACCATCTATTCTTTCACCACCGCCACTGCCATCCCAACCTCTATCTACATCTACCTTACAGGGCTGTCAAATTTACCATACCACTTCTAGAACGTTACGACTATATCAAACAAAGAACTTGTGAAGTATAAAATGCATGACTTAAAAAAATGTTTTGACCTTCAAAACCTGTTTGAGAATTTAATTTTTTWWAAATATTTTTTGTCCTGCAAATTGAGGTGGCATCGGCGGTATTCAGTGAATTAGAATTCAAGCAAAAAAAATCTAATATAACAATAACTTTACGTTTACATTTTTTGCAGCCAAGTACGGAAAATGCCCCAAGCAACCACCTAAACCGGCCGAGTGTCCAGATGATGACGTCAATGAATGTTCCCAGGACAAAGACTGTAAAGGAGCGGGTGATTTATGTTGTAAGGGAGGCTGTAACAAGAGAGTCTGTATAACAGGAATTAAAAGTAAGTCATTCATGACTTTTGCTAACATTATGACGCTGAAACGTTGAATCGCCAAAAATTCCCATGCTGTACACCGAATTAAARTATGGTGAGCAATTTGAATAACTATTGTTCTGGACTGTCTACYTATCTAACACAAAGCTAGTCAGTCCAGAACAATAATTTTCCAAATTGGTCGCCATATTTCGATTCGGCGTAGTTACCTTTGCTAGGCGCCGCTTATGGCCCTGTGTGCCATTCCAGGTGATCTCGTTTAGACAGCCCATCAAAAACCAGCCAATCATCGCGCAGGGAGGAATCTGATCAGGCGGTCCATCAAAACAAACATGGCGACCGAAGTCAGAAAAAAATACTCGGAATCTTTGCTTCCCTAGCTATGTTATAGGCTAGCAATACATTTAAAATTCTACCTACTCTTATAACGAATACCTATGGGTCAAATGGTGCATTGTGGTTTCATTTCTTTTATGAAATTATCGTGAAATAATAGCTCTTTGTTCACCGATAAACAACTAAAAAACTAGGACCGCCTGATCAACAATCCTTTGCACGCCTTCCCCAAGATCACCTGGTTTAGGCGCAAGGAGGATAGGTACAGATACATGCGCCGCTTACCCACTTCTAAAACCAATTTTGTTGATAATAATTAGGCTTTTTACTCAATTTCACTCACTAAAGCCCTCTTACAGCAATTTCCAATGCATCTCGATTTAGCGGGGAAAACATTAAAATTCATTTCTCAGGAGAGTAAAATTGTATCCGGTCGTCCTTAAAATTGAGTGGCGGCATTGAGAATGTGTTTTACGATAGCAGAGGGTATTCTCGCAATCTGATTGGCTGACAGCTATGATCAATGAGAGGACAGACAATGGAAATCTATGAGCAATTTGTTAAATGTAAGCCGATATGGTGCCTTTCATACTAATCGTCGTATGCTAAGTATCCCTCTTTGTTTTGGCTCAGTTGTATTTTGAAATTCGATTCCAATGCCATCACTACCATAGCATGCGAGTCCCTCAAAGAGTTAAATATTTTGCTCAAATTCTTCTTGTTGTGCTTATCGTTTAGACTGCTTCATTCCTATGGAGATTGCTTTCGCGGTGGACGTCTCAGAGACCATGACTACCGCTGCCTTAGAGAGTTCTAAAGACTTCGTCAAGGAAGTCATCCGTACATACGCTTCATCAGAGAACGACATCCATTTCGGCCTCATGACATTCGCAGGTATGTATGTTCCCATGTACTCGYGAGGGCTCTCATTTTCTAGACCATAGAAAACTTGCTGCCATATATTTTTACAGTCTACTGGTTGTGTGTGAGTGTAGGGAAGGGTGCTTTGTATTAAACGGGGCTTTACAAACCCGAGGGCTTTACAAACCCGAATTTCCCTCATGCATAGAACACGAGGGAAATTTAGAAGACAAAGAAATCCTTTGTCTTTTGCTAAATTTCCCTGTCGCATATATTAAATGTAGGGAAATTTAGTAAAAGACAAAGGATTTCATTGTCTTCTAAATTTMCCTCMTGTYCTGGTCTCCCTCAGGGACAACTCAATGCCCCAGCAACTGAATCGATTACAACGTATCCTACTTATGATATTACTGCACGGTTTCCATGTGGGACGCGTTCTCAAATCTACGCATGCTCAGTCATAAGATAAATTAAAAAATGACAACTTGTTTTTAGATTCTATTTTTGTTTTATTCCACAAATTTTCCCTCGGGAGGGAGGGATGAAGGGTTGGATTGGGTGGAACACTGCGTCTTCTCTCGTTTCTTACTATTTCTTTTGGTTGTATCTAAAGGAACGGCTAAAGCACTAACGCCAGGCTTTAGGAAGTTCAAGACCGAACAAGAGCTGCAAGGTATCGTCAATCAAATCAAGTCGGTTAATGACCCATCGAGACGAGTGGACCTGGCGCTAAAGGAAGCAAAGAGGAGTATATTCAGTCTGGAAGGAAGAATACGACACGGTCATCCACGGTGAGTTTACCGACACTTTCTCTAATTGGGGAAAATGCGTGTGTTTGTGTGTTGAAGGGGGAGGGGGAGGGGAAGACCCTTTCAGTATCCTTGCGCATTTGCCCAGTGTKTAAGTCGGGAGTAGAAAACGAAAAACACTTTCTAGTTTGKTRTCCACTATATGACTCTCATAGAAACGACTTAAGAGAGTTCATAGAAAAAAACACCAGCATTAATTTCAACAATATGAGCGCTGACAGTCGTTTTATGTTCTTAATCCATTCAAAATCAGCGTCTCTACAAAGAGCCATATCAGCATACATTCATCAATGTATGCTGATACGTGAAAATGAAATAAGAAAATTACCTAATACATAGTACATATATATATACCTATAATATATTTGGAATCAAACACTCATGTACTATTAAGTATAAGGTGCCAAATAAAATTGTATTGTATTGTATATTGTATTGCTATTTCACCCTTCCTTACTATATTTATATGACTTATGCAAATTTTCAGGATTTAAGGATTTTCAAAAAACTTTCAAACCAGGAAACATTCGAGGCTCGCTTCACAATCTGTATATATGCCAATTGAAAGAAAAGAAGAAAAAAGACTAAATAAATTTAGTTTCAAATGTCTATAATTGAAAACGTATCCTTTTCTTTCAGTTATCTGATCATCCTTACGTCGTCGGGTACATCCGAAGGCAGTGGTGACCTTGCTGAAGCAAGGAAGGAGCTGGACAAGCTGAAAGTACGAACAGTAGCCATTGGTACCAATAATGGCGTCGATGGTGTATTCCTTCAGCAGTTGGCCTCCGAGAACAGTTATGTCTTCCAAGCGCAAGACGCTAGTCAACTAGAATCCATCAGGCCACAAGTACAATCAAGCTTCTGCGCTGGTGGGTGTAGGTTTTTTGGTATCTCACCTAATCTTGAAATACTTAGGGAAGTGTGCGGCTGGCGTGCGCTGCTAATGCGTCACCTCTCACCAATGTGTATATGTGAGTAGAGTTGTTTTGGTCTCTCCTGTGCTGCGAGGAATTTTCCGGGTTCTCCGGTTTTTCCTCCSTCCTCAGAAAATTAATTYRATAAATTCTAATTCGATCTTTGAGCTTTYGCCTAGTTGGAGCCTWGCTCTGTTATGATGTCTCACAGTGTGATACAACACTAGCAAAAGCTTAGACCCGTTGCACTAATTCCAATCTTGGGCCAAAACAAAGAATAGACCTCATTTACTTACCAGTTACAGACCACGTGTTATTCACTAGAGAAAAAGATTCTTTGKTTGAGTTKTATCCATATTCACGTGTCTTCTCATATGCAACCGTTAAACAATGAAATATTCTTAGGAATGTCACGTGGTGTGAAGTGGGACAACATTACACCAAGATGAATAAGGTCTATTCCCTTGTCTCCACAATTGAAATCTTGTTTATGTTTTAATTTTTTTAAATATGGATTTAGTGCAAGATYTTACATTTAATTATTAGGCAAAAAGTAGTTTGCTATTATTGCATTTATATGTTCATTGATGTAGCCAAACAAGAATGATTCGTTCATAAAGCCAAGGAAGTGTGATGYAAAAGATAACAAATCCCAACTACACATCGTTCTTTACTTTTCTTTAGAAAAACCTGGAAATTGTCCCGTACCCACAGTCACGCCCGATCCCGCAGTTTGCGGGTCTCAAACGGTAGTACCACTACAGTTCATCCCGTGCGGTGACTCGGCGGGTAAAGCTGGTCGCAGTCAGCGCGAGAATGATTGGGACTGTCCTGGCGAGGCCAAGTGCTGTAAGGATCCAAACACAGGATGTCACAATGTCTGTGTATACCCACCTATAAGTAAGTCAATCGTTTTATAAGTTAAATTTATAAAACATGTTTATTCTAATTGTGAAAAGACCCTGTGCAGTGACAGACATTAGGAATTGTAGACCGCTGTAGAGTACAAGAAGCAAGCTTGAGCAAGTTAGGTCTAGCTGCATACATCTCTGATTGGCAATTTTTGCCTGGAAACTCGTGGTACAAACCATTAGAGCCAATTCTTGGAACAACTCATAGGACCAATTCCTAATTCAAATAGTTGTTTAAAATTGATGGCGTATAATATAACAATAAGGAGACTCAAGATGTTTATAAGTAAATGCAAGAGAATATGAAGTAATATTCTCTTAGTAAATGAAACCGGTCTCCACTAATTGAGTCGTTTTTAGTGCRCGAAAGATGTTTTAATCAAAGGTGACCCATGGTAAGCTCAATGAACTAAGATGATAACGAATGACACTTGGTGACTCATTTCATTGAGGGTATTGTGACCCGAGTAAGGTGATAGTCGGAGTTGTGTTTTGTACAAACAAACTGTTGTCTTTATCAATTGAATTATTGGCTTCTGATCGGCTAGAATTCTTTCTTTTCCGATTTCTGGTTAAGAAATTTTTCTACGTTTGAGCCGATTATCTGGACCGAATCTAATTGATCCAATATATGACAAACCAGGCTGTTTTCGGATTCTTCTTCCAACTTAAYGATAAATACGACAATCTYATATCTCAAGGTTCAATAAAAAGAGCACAAAGTAAACTAAGAATACTCAAAATATGCTGCTGATTATGAAGCGATCGAAAATCCAAAATGGCTTCCTCTGCAAACAGCGTGCGTGGRTTCTTCCAGTGACGTCTCTTGGCGAATACAATGGATTCMATGGTTACGGGAATTAYCCAAAACGATTGGCTGAGAAACGTTATCCGAAAAATGCGAAATCTAGCCTCCTCTATAGCTCTTATTTAGCCTCATAATCACAATCGTGACGATGTTTGGATATTAATGGTCATTTTTTATTATCATTTATGACATTCTAATAGAATTGTTTTTGTTCAGTTTGTAACAAGGTCAAAGACATCGTGCTTGCCGTCGAGTCGTCGGATCTCATTGGAAAACGAGGCTTTGAAAAACTCAAACAATTTCTGCAATATTTTTCGRAGGCGTTTGGCGTGTCACGTGACGGTAGTCATATTGGTATGATAGTCTACTCGTCCCGCTCTCGTGAGGCATTCCGTCTGACCGCATATCGAGATACCGCAAACTTGAAGARGGGTATTGCAAAGGCAAGTTTTGGTGGAGGATCATATCCCTATCCTTCAGAAGGACTGGTGACTGCCCTTGACATCTCCCTCACTCAACGAGGAGGAGCCAGAGAAAATGTTAACAAGGTATCAATCAACGTCGTGCATGTTCTTGAGAGTAGCCAAAAACAGGAGATGGTAGATTTTAGCCATTTCTAGGTTGAGAAAAAGACTGGATCGAGGTGGCATTGCAATGCATTGTGGACCTGTTTCAGGGGATATATTTCCAAGATGGCGTCTTTCGTTYCCTAAAACATTCCAACGATGCACTGCAATGTTAACTCGACTCAGTTTTGTTTTTCAGACTTGGAATGACTTACTTGGAATACACTTTTCAAAAYTATATCCTTGTATACGAGACGTTTACTTCTTTACTTCAACGAAGGATTAACGTCCAAAACTTCAGTACGGTTACAAACTTTCTTACTCGGTATTTAACCTTCCTATGCATGTGTAATATTCGACGTTTACACATTCACGCAGTCTCAACTAGTAGACAATAGTCATCAGTCCATACGAGGCAAACAGGAAAATACGAAAAAATCTCACTTTTGATCGATGGAATTTGTATTATCAATCCCGCATCCAACGTAATTTTAAAAGGGGACTATATTCAGGTGTTTGCATAAGGGGCCATTTTTGCCAGCATCCTCCTGCACCATCTCTACAGKGGCCCTATACACTTAAAGTAGAGGATCTTCCCGTCCGGTGGATTCCCTTTCTCAATAAAACAAATATGATCAACCACTCCCCTTCTAACCCCATCCCCCTTTTCCCCGAACCCCACACTACCCCCAATACTATGCCAATCTTAAAGAAAGATTGTATTATTTTTAATTATTTCTAAATGTTTTCTTTATTTCGTTTGGCTCGTAGTCCCTAGTGCTTTTCACATCAGGTCGCTTCGAAAGACCAGCCAAAGCCATCGCTGTCGCATCACAACTGAAAGAAGGACTTGTTGATGTGTATGCTGTTGCTATTGGTGACAAGCCAGACCTCGAAACTCTAAAACAAGTCGTGTCAAGACCTATTGAACCCAATATCTTCATGATGTCATCCGCTGATGCACTAAGAGCGCAGGCTCGAGCCTTGGTCAAACGTGTTTGTGACGGAGGTAAAGTATCTTCTTAAAAATTGCGATTATTTTCTCTGTTTTTCTTTCTTTCTACTAGTCATATTATGCAGATCCATCCAATGCATCCCTTGTGTGCACCTTATATGCGTCTTCTCCCAGTCACGTGATTGTGGGCTTGAGATGAATAGATAATTATGCAGGGGGTTTAAGAAATGGCGATAAGAATGTTTCGATTGCAATGTGGTATAGAAAGCGGGATGCATTAAGAGCCAGCTGAGGGTTTCAAGCATGTTTTGTTCGTTATGTACGTTATCGTTTTGACCWAAGCTAGACAAGGGTGTTCTTTTTAACTATTCAGCCATTGCTAATTATGTATTTTCTGTTCTCGTTTATAGCCGAGAAGAACTATATCGTAAGTATATCACAGGAGGTTTCCATGGAAACGTCTCACATGTCACATGTACACCAACCGCGCACTAATATGCTAACATTTAGACACTGGTTCAATTCCTAAATAAGACAGATTCACCGACAAAACTACATTCACTTTACATACACATCTCAAACTGCTTATTTATTCGTTTACTTGCTCTGTTATTATTTCATATTTTATCATTTACTGTATGTTTTGTATACTAGTTATTTGTTTTAAAACGTGGCTATAAGGTGAACTCATTCYATTATTTATTGGATAACGAATTGTGTTGAATTTATGGCTGTAAATTCAAACGAATTATTTGTTTTCAATATTAAAGTTTTTTGATATTGAAAACATGAAAAGATCGTTGAACTAGTAATGGAATGGTAATCTTACCAATTACTGTAGGCCTAGCTTCCACATATACTCACATAATGTGCACGTGATCATGACGTCGTTTCATATAACACGCACGTGATCACGAACTATGCTCACGTGGTCACGTGGTCYCGAAAGGACGAGCATGGCATCAGCTTTGATTTTATTCGTGTTATTATTCTTGYGGTAGATAAGGATAGTCTTTCATTTGTTGAATTGTTTTATGCTTGTCTTTTGTTTGAGTTGGATTGGTTTGGGTTGGGTTCGTCTGGTTGTACGGCTTTTCTTCAATTGACTTGAATTGTATTTGGGTTAGGTAGTGGGTTGGTTTGGGTTGAACTTTAATGGGTTCGAATGAATTGGGCTTGTCTTTATTTGAATTTGATTGGTTGGCCGGTAGTGGGTTAGGATGGGTTGGGTTTTCTTGGATTGGGGTGGATTTGTTTGGATTGGCTTGTCTCTATTTGCGTTGGTTTGGATTAGGTTGGATTAGGTTAGGTAGTGGATAGCGGGTTTTTGTGGGCTGAGTTTTTCTTGGATCGTAATATTTGGGCTTGACTTTGTTTGACTTGATGATCAGGTTTGGTTAGGGTTGGATTACAATAGCGATCTTTTGTATTGTTTATCAGTTTGCTAACTGTTTGTATTTATATACTGCCATTGTTATCTCTCTTCATTATTATTATRATTATGATTATTGCAATTTATTCTTATTCTTAACATTTTTTTACCTATTACTACAATCATTATGTGACGATTATTATTGCATTCATTATATATATTTTTATTGCAATTTTAATAATGATTATTTTTATCTTTATTATTTTATTTTGTACATATTATGTTTGTGAATGAAATTACTCCCTTTCATACCGATTTCCACTTCTTTTCTATTTTCCCATTTTTCTCTTTCTTTCTTTCTTATACCACTTGTTATGAGTTTCATCGACCACTGCGTATTTTATGAAAATTTGCCCATTCAATCCGCTTTCCACTTTTCTTTTCTATTTTTCTATTTTTCTCTTTCTTTCTTATCCCAATTTATTATGAGCTATATCGATCACTGTGTATTTGATAAATTATGTCCCATYGTGTCGTGCATTAGTACTCGTTCACTCCACAGTCATTTAGCTGAATCTCAACGACGAACGCAAGATCTTATTCATGTGAGGTAATAACCAACTAAAAAACGGTAAGATTGKTGAGTATGAAAGCGTTTGTTTTACTTCAAAAAACATTGATTTCCGAAAGCAGACATTGCAAAACAAATRTTTTAAAGCCTAAATGGCCGCCATGTTGGATGACACGACTAGCCTCGATAAACCAACGATGTGTTCTTGGTTAGAATCATCCAATATGGTTATGCTATGACGTCACTAGAAAACTTAGAAAAGCATATTTTCAACACAAACATCAAAAATTTTAATTTTTACAGCTGTGTTCTTTGGCGACAGTATGGTATCAAAGACCTTCGAATAGCTTGTTCAGATGAGTGTCCGTTGGATTCATCGTTCCTTTAATTATGCTGTTGCTTGTACCGAAGCTTGACGAAAAGGATGCAAGTTTTGTTGGACTTCAAAAAAGGTCTTTGAACTAGCTTTACTTACACCTTCTTTAACGGTGATGCAAGTTTTTTGGACTTCAAAAAGGTCTTTGAACTAACTTTACTTACACCTTCTTTCACGGTGATCAAAAGACAATGTGTGAACGCATTTAGTTTTCGGGTCTCGCTAAATCCTGAGTTCCGTAAGACATACTGGCAACGGAATTATCAGTCCTGCTAATACTGATTTCATTTTTTTTCAACACCTTTCTAACAGCATTAACACATGCATGACGAATGTCCTTCAGCTTCCARTAGTACACGATTGGATTCAAGAAAGAGTTGGCGAAGGAGATGGGTGAGGCAATATTACGTGCTGCACGCGTAGCACTGGTGAAACCCTTGACTCCTATAGCTGCACTAGCACACACAAATGGAATATAGCAAATCAGAACCAACACTATAATGTACAGGATGACCGTGAGGGTTTCGCGGTATTTCTTGATGTCTTTGATGCTGTATGCTGATTGGCTGGCATGTCTACTTGTTCCTACCTTGGCTTGATGCAGTTTAAGGGCTTTGAACGATTTGATATAAGCCCATGCTGTTACTAATAGACAGAAGATCATGATTCCTGAAACAACACGACCAAACGTCTTGCTGCCGAGAAACATTTGCGAAGAACTTAAAAGACATCCAAAAACCCATATTATAATGACCACTTTGGTCACGCGGGATGTCGTGACGATTTGACGATAACGCATTCCTAAATGTAACGCAAGGTAACGATCGATGCTAATCGCCAGAAGGGTCAAGAAAGAGGTTCCAGCAAATACGTAAGCCGAACCAAGAGCAAGAACTCCWCGTATGCAGTAATTGTCGAATTCTCCATTGACTTCTGCGAACTTGTACGCCACATAAGCTGGCTGTGTGACAGCACCAACAAAAAAGTCCGAAAGGGCAAGACTTCCAAGTAAAATACACGAAGGTGTGTGGAGRGACTTGGTACGCCATATTGCAAACAGAACAACAGCGTTGAAGACTGTTGCCAAAGGCGCCATGGAAGTATTTAATCCAATACTTATGTAGAAGCTGGCGACGGCTTGCTGTACAACTAATGTATCAAGATGGAGGAAGAAACATGTTTTGTCAATATGAGTTTCGTTGGCCATTTGGATTTAAAAGAAATTAAGAAYTGTTGCAATATATCTCAGGACGGTAGATCAGACTTCAGATGAGACTTCTTTACATCAGAAAAGTATTCAGTATCCGCGATTTGATTTCTTTTTTGAGAACTTTGAGATCAGGCTGAGAAGCTTGTGTTCTTTTAAAATATTTTGTACCCAACTGTGAAGTTGTCCCTAGAAAAATGAAGAGGAAATAGTGCTTCAGCATGCGAAAAAAATATTTATTGATTATGTATGGGGGGTGGGGGGTGGGATTGGGCCAAATTAAATTTAGGGGGGGATAAGTATTTATTATTATTATAATTTGTACAGATTATTTGCATGTAATTGTTTTATTTTATTTAATATTCATTATTATTATCTTTTATATTTATATATTTATGATAAATCTCTTCTTGATATGGAAATGTGGAAGAGTAATAAAGTAGATGTAGATGAATGTTATATTTTTAGCATTGCGTCAGTGATTTTGACCGCTAAAATAGTTGTCTATCAAGCATTGATGGTTTTCACAGCCGCCATGTTGGATGAATTTAACAAAAGATTGCGCCATTAGTCTCTTTTCAATTATACTGGTCACCCAACATGGCCGCCGTTTCTTTTGTTATTTTATTCTTACATTTTTCTTTTATTTCCATCATTAAATAATAATGATAATGATAGTAAT